ACGTGTGAACGAGGGGCAAAGAGGTCAGGCTAGGACCTGAATGAATAAAGGTCTGATTAAAAGGGCTGAATAAAAGCTAGCATTCATTGAATCTTCACTGGGCATGAGGCTCTGAGGCCCTGAGACCCTGAGGCCCAATGCCAAGGCCCCCAAAAGTGGAACATGTAGCGTGGGCTTGGGAGGTGGTTTGGGGGTCTTTGTGTGCCTCATCAGGCTCCCAGCTGGATATTGACTGGCACCCACACTTACAGGTCTTGCCTCTCAGAGGTAATAATCTTTGAAATCCCTCATCTATTTCTCTTCCTTTTAGTAGCACGTTCTAGAGCTCCCAGCTCAACCAGTCAAGGCTTGTTCTCCAGTCTCTCCCACTCCACAGCTTCCATCCCTTGCCTGATGCATCCTCAGGCATCCTCAGCTGCCCCACCCTCAGATCTCACTCCCCTTCACCCCAATCCTCCTCCAGCCTTGCAAGGGGAGCTCTAGCCTGCTGCCCAGGCTGTACCCATGATTAACTCCCATTCCTCAGGGCTCCCTCGCAGTTTGCCCATTTCTCCCCTGGCCCCAGCCCCAGCTCCCCTTAGCCAAGCTCAGGCCTGCTGCTTATCCGGCTCCATCACTTCCCACTCCTATACCAAGCTCACCCTTTTCTTCCCACAGGGAGCCCTCTTCTTCTTCCAGATTCTCCAGGTCCAGCTGACTGCCCCTCAACCATTCCCATCACCTTCCTGCCCAGGTCTGGAGGCCCAACCCTAAAGGGGGCATTTAAAGAAGGCATACCCCCTTTTTCTATCCTTTCCCTCTGGGAGCAACAGGCCTTCCCATCATGGGCATGTGTCTTTTAAATGTATTTTATGTTTTCAAATCTACTTGTTTGGTTAAAGAAACACTTTACATAGAAAAAGTAACTGATTTTTTTAAATATTGAGGAAACAACAGGACAGGTGGTAGGTGGAGTCAGCAGTGATGATGGACATTGAGCAAGCACTGCATTTTTCCCATTCAACCTTCTAATAGCTCTGTGAAGTTCAGGTATGGCCTGTTATTATTCCGGCTGTGCGAAGTGGGCCCCATCTGGGGTTTGTGATGAATTCCACAATGTCATGTGATGTGGTTTAAAAATTGGTTTTCCTGGAGAAGGGGCAAACTTAATGAGGCAGGGTTTGTTCTCTGAACCCCATCATCAGACTGACCTTGGGTGCAGCCTTTCTCCCAGCAAAAGAGGGTGAAGGCGGCCCACTGGAGCTAGCTTGTCGTCTAGGCAACCCAGAATGATATCCCAGGTCACCTTTGGCAGTTGTGTTCATCGAACCATGACCCCCATGTTATAGATGCAGAGAAATGAAACAATTGGCCCAAGTTGCACACCAGTTCTAGGGCCTGAATTCAAAACCAGGCTACTAGTTTACACGGCAAGGAAAGGAGATTTTATGAAGTAACAAGAAGGGAAAATTTCTGTGGTCTGTTCTCTGGGCCTTGCTTTGCACATCTCCAGGAAGTGGGGTGACATTTTGTGAGGTGTTCTGATGCTTTCTCCTGCACTACACTGGCCCCTCCACCCCAGGGCTGTTGGGGCAGGTGGGAAGCTGTAGGAGCCACTGTGAACAATCTCCTTTGGTGACTGTAATGATTTAGCAGGAGGCTTGCTGGGCCTAACCCCCGTGCTGGAGAATCAGAATCCAAATTAAAGATTTTACATTTTAAAATGCTTTATAATCACTAGTAGCCACTGGATCACTGGTTCACAGTAGAAGGATCTATAGATGTCTTCCAGATCTTGTACGTAAACATCAAGACGAAAATAAGAGCTGTTCCTTTAATCCTTACTATACAATTTTTAAGAAAGTCTTTAATATTCTATTCAACTCTTTCTTCTCCTTCTCCCTTCTCTCTCTCTCTCCACCTGCCCCTCTCTCACTGGTTCTAAAACCTAAGTGTAGCCATAAATATGCAAGGCATAGAAGGCTGACTTTTCCTATATCCAATAAAAACCGTAGGGAATAATTGAAATAACTTGGCACGGCTAGTCAGGTTACAGGCTGCATAATATTAAAAGAAAACCCGTAGTGAGGAAAAGCAACAGCAAATAGGAAGAAGGGCTGGAAGTAAAACCAGAACATTAAATAATGAGTAATTATGAGAAACTAAAACAACAACAGCAGCAGCTGCAATAAAAACCCTCTTAGAATTACATCCTTAGAAAAAGAGCCAAGAAGCATCTTCAAAGAAGTCGTCCTAGACAAAGTGTACATTCTAGGTATTTCTAAGAATTGCAAATTTAAAGAAGAGGGAGGAAATAATCCACCCCCCATCTATTTATTAGACATGAGCCCGACAGAAGGCGCAGGTTTTCATCCCATTTTGACATGCATGTTTTTTTCATGATTAGGCTTCCCTCCCATCTCTTTCTTCCCGTTTTATCTCTACGATCTAAATTTTAAAGGAATGCTGTCAAGACAGCGTACCAAAAAGGGGAGAGACGTCTACTACAAATTGTACTTTGTACTTTTTCGAATACCTTACGTTGGTGTTTTTGATCTTACAAAAGATCTCTGTATTCATTGTGGGTAGCAAGCAATGTTGGGTTGACATGTCTGTGGTCTTGTGAGGGAGGGAAATGCTGTGTCCTAGGCACAGGGGGAGAGTAGCCTACGGCCCGTGTTTCTCGTAGAATCCTTTTTTTTTTTAAATCTTATTTATTTATTAATGAGAGACACACAGAGAGAGGCAGAGACACAGGCAGAGGGAGAAGCAGGCTCCATGCAGAGAGGCCGATGTAGGACTCCATCCTGGGTCTCCAGGATCACGTCCTGGGCCAGAGGCAGGTGAGCTTAACCACTGAGCCACCCGGGCGTCCCTGTTTCCGGTAGAGTCCTATTGCTTATTCCTGCCCTCACCTGACACCCTCGGCTATGGCATCTTGGGCCAGCCCTTTACTGTTCCTACACTCGGTTTCTTTCTAGTCCCCCCCACTCCCCAAAGGTTATTTCTATGTAAAAATAAAATCTTCAGGAAACAGAAAAGTAGAAGAAGAAAGAAAGTGATTACCCATAATTCATCAAACATAATGATTTGGGTGTATTTCCTACCAATCTTTTGTGCATCTAGTTTCTCCTTTTATTTTGAAACATTTAGTAGAAATTAAGCTAGACCGTCCAGCTGTATATCCTGATCTTTCTGTTGGCAGTGTTTTGTCTTTCTAAGTAAAAATATATGGACTCTCATCGTTTTCTAGAGCTGCATGATATTCAACTCAGGCATTCCTGTTCTTTGTTTTTTACAGTCTACGTGAACAGAGAACACTGGGGCTGTTTGGATATCTCACTGATGGAAAAGAGACAGTGCCAGGGCTGTGGCTCACTTTATACCTGTGATGATTCATAGCCAGGTTCAGTTCTCTCTTTCCACGACCTTGTCCGAGGTGCTCATATGCAGGGAGGTGAGGCCAATCTCCTTCTGTGAGATCATCTCAGATCACAGACCAGTGACTGTAGTACCTCTGTTGGTGTCTGATTGTAGCGAGACAAGCTAGCTACAAATTCCAGCCCTGCAACTTGCTGCCTGTGATATCAGGCAAGGTTTTTGGTCTCCATGTGTCTCTGTTTTCTCAGCTGTAACTGTGTGGATATCATGATAATTGCTCAATTCTGAGAAATACATTTTGACACGTTTGATAGTGAGCTGAGTGCTGCAATCAGTTGTGCACGTTGTAATTCTTCTTTTTTCCTCCCTCAACACTCCCCAGAGTTACTATCATCAGTGGTATCTCAGAACTGAAGAAATATAGTAATACATGCTTTATAGGTTGTTGAAAAAAAAAAGCTGAAATATTGCACACGAAGTATTTTTAGCACTTGGTAAGAGAGCAATACAGAGCAGCTATCATTTTATTAGTAAGAAAACTTCTATTGTTCTTAGAATGGTAAGCAGAATCTGGGCGTAGCGGGCAAGAGTGCCAAGGCTGATGAGTAAGATCTTGGGGAGATGGAGTGGCAACACACTACCCTAATGGTCTGCTGTCTCCTCGTCATTATGGTGGCACAAAACATTGCTTGGCAATTCATTCGGCATTAGCAGACATGGGTTTGTCAATCAGGAGTTTGGCTGAAATCTTGTGGCAATGGACTGTCTCTGTGCCCGAGGTGGGAGCTGAGAACCATGTAGGTAAGAAACAATCCCAGACGACACCAATGTCCTGGGAAACACGGAAGCTGATGGAGACCTGCAAGTCTCTACAACACTCTGAAAATGCATTCCTTTCCGTAATAGCTTTGGGGATTTCAGCCACAAACACTTAGCCATTTTTCTTAAAACGCCAACCCCGGTAGAAATGCGGGAGACTTTGCACAGAGGGAAGGGCAGAGCCTTGGCAATCACCTGGATTTTGCTCAGCCCTTGTTCTGCTAATGGCCCCTTAAGTCTTGCCTCCTGAGCCTTGAAGGTGCTGCACCTTGGCCTTTCTAGAACTTTGCTGGGGGAGGACTGCCCTGCTCCCTTGGTGTAGGCCTTCACCGCATCATGTTCTTGTTCTCCTCTGCTGTGGGTAAGATGCTGCAATCCCAGGGCCCTTCCCTAGAAAGGGTCCTGGTGCTGGGAAAAGGAGACTGTTCATTTTATTATGTGGCCCTTGCTATCTAATTCTCAGCTTTTGTGACACTTAGGAAATAAAATCAATCATTAAAAGGCTTAGGACAAACATTATATGGTCTCATTCATTTGGGGAATATAAAAAATAGTGAAAGGGAATAAAGGAGAAAGGAGAAAAAAATGAGTGGGAAATATCAGAAAGGGAGACAGAACATGAGAGACTTGTAACTCTGGGAAACGAACTAGGAGGGGTGGAAGGGGAGGTGGGCGGGGGGTGGGGGTGACTGGGTGACAGGCACTGAGAGGGGCACTTGATGGGAGGAGCACTGGGTGTTATTCTATATGTTGGCAAATTGAACACCAATAAAAAATAAATTTATATATAAAAAAAAAGGCTTAGGTGGAAAGCTACATACCATTTCTTGAAATATTCTGGTAGTCTCTGTGATTGCAGTGGTTTCTTTTCCGTAATCGAAGGTAAATAGAGTTTTCCTTAATTCTGAAACAAATATATTCGTGCATATTTAATATCAGGACATTCACATGATGAAGTTCAAAAAACAGAATTTTATTATGATTTTTTAAAATGGATGGTTCCAAATGAACTCAGAAAAATCAAATCTCTGCTGACATGTTTCCTCTAAACTGTCAATACATTATTAAGAGTTGTTACAAGGAACAGTCCCATAAAATGCGTTGCATCAATGTAGTAAGATTCAACTTTTATTTTTGTAAAGACCTTCAGAGTCTTCCTTTTTTTTCATTTCTTTTCTTTCCGTGTTTTTTTTTTTTTTTTAAATTTCAGGCTTCAGTGATGTTCCCAAACCTCAATAGTTATTTTATAAATAAATAAACACAAATATGCAGAATAAAGTTTTCAAAGTTGAGTTTTTAGATCATTGAGTTCAGTTCATTGTTGGCTAAAAATGTGGTTTTGTTTAGACAACCCCACATACAGAGTCACCCCTTTCTAAACTTTTTACCAAAATCTTCTATATATAAGTTTCTCGAGCAATTAGTCATCTTTAACAAATGTGTTTTTAATAAAATTTTTATTTTTATTAAGTTTTAAATTTTAATTCCAGTAGAGTTAAAATACAGTGTTATATTGGTTTCAGGTGTGCAATATAGCGATTCAATGATTCTATACATTGTTCATTGATTTTTGAACCTGACCTTATATTTCTTCTTTTGGTTGCTATGAAGATGGCAGACACTCCTGTTGATCTTCAGATCCATCTGCCCCCTTCATCCATTTTAATAAAAGGTTTAACAGGGAATGATGATGCCACATGATGACTAATGTACTCAGCTTCCCTTGTAGCTACAAGTGGCCACTTCACTCAATTCTGGACTAAGAGGTAAAAGTATCCAATTTCTGAGAATATTTCTTAGGAAACATTTGGCAGGTGCTGCTTGCTCCTTCTTTACCCCGTTTCTCCATTTTGCTGTTCAGAATAGACATGCTAGCATCTTGGACTATGGGGGTAACTTCTTCATTGGGAAGTCAGAGGGGTGAGTTAGAAGGACCCTAGATCCTCGAGGACCAGTGGAGCTGAGCTCCCATACCGGAACTGGACTACGTATCTCTGAAATTTTACATGTCAGATAAATAAACTCAAACCTTATCTTATTTTAACGATGCATATGTTGAGTCTCTTGGCTACCTCTAGCTGAATCTAATACTAATGGACACAGAGTTCAGAGACAAATTTGTGACCAGTATCAGCTTATAACTGCACATATTTTAAGTCACTTTCTTGGCTTCTCTTTGTGCCATCTTTGATTTTCTATCTCCTTTTGCCAAGCTTTCATTTAATTTGAACATAATTTAATGTTATGTTCTTTATACTTTTATAGGTTTCTCTAAAATCCTTTTTGAAATAAGACCAGGTATAGACTAATGAATAATAATTAAACTCAGAAGTATTTGATTATTCTTCAAATGTATCGTATCTTCTCATTATAATAACCTCATATCTCACAACTTTACATAAATCACCATTTATTGTGTTACATGAGTCTCACTTATTATACTATAGTGTTTGCCAACTGTCTCAGTGCTTCAGAAAGGTAAACATGTATCAGGTTTGGGCACTTGGGATACACTGAAATAGTATTCTTTTTAAAGTCTGAGAAAACTAATGATAATATTTTTTGATAGAAGAGCAAGATGTCTGGGCAATATTTTAAGTATGGAATTTTTGCTTTGTGGTAGAGTTTTGAGGGGAATGATTTATTTTATTTTTAAAAATCAAACCTACCCATACATAAAGTTTTAAAAAGTCACATTTGTATTACTTGAGTGAGGTTTAGTGAGCCCTACTATATTCCAGGCACTCTTCTAGGCACCTGGGTCATATTGGTAAATAGAGAAGACAAAGACCCCTACCCCTGTATTATTGCCATTCTATCAGGAAAAAAAAAACACCAAACATCCTGAATGAACTAATTATAGAGGATGCTAGAAGGTGGTAAGTGCTATGAAAAAAAAAAAAAAAGGGAGGGAGGAAGGGAGGGAGGGGAAATAGGGTTAGAGTGGTTGGAGCAAGCCTCCCTGAAAAGGTGAATGTGAGCAAAGGCAGTTGCACTATTTATGTCTATAAGGCTTGTAGTGATAAAACGGCAAACCCATACTTCCCTCCCCTCCCCATTTCAGTCTCAGAGGCAACTAATTTCAGCCTTAACTGACTGAGTCTTTGGGCATTTTCTTTCTTATCTCTAAATAACATACTTTCAAGTCCACTTCTTGATTTGTAGTCTTTGGTATTATCTATTCACTGCCCACCATCAAGAGGAGGATTTAACTATTCACAATTGATCTATGGTTGCTTTTTCTTCCCTTCTAAATTCTTTTATTTCCCTAGAGTTAATAGCAGCCTTTTGTTTCTTTGATTACTTTTCTAAGTATTTATCATCAATTTACCCTCAAATGTTTTACAGTTGTTTGATCCCCTTTCAATATTTCCCTATCAGACAGTTTATTTATTTTGTCTTGTGGAAAACTCTCCTGAAACCTCTTGACCTGCTTACTCTGGACTTGCTGCCTTCTCACCCTGGTGCTCAGTAGATATCCTGGGAGCCCCCATCTTCATCATCCTGGGGATGCTCTTCACCTCTTCCTGACTTATTTACTTTCTAGAAGACCACATTTTTATTTTTTCCCATGGAGAATGTTTGTAAGTAACTTTTGAAGGATGTGGGGGAAGTAACTTATTTTTTTTAACATTTGTGTATCTAAAAATGTTTCCAGTTTTTGATTTAGTGAGGTAAAGGTAGGCCCAGGAACAGAGCTTACATCATAAGTATAAACATAAATGCAGTTAATAAGACTTGTTGGGGGAAAACTTCAAGAAGAGAACTAACAGTGTTCACTTGGTCCCTGAACTTTCATTATCTTAGACAAAGGTCTTTTAGACAAGACATAGCTAGACAAGACACATCTAGGATACCCTACATATTTTTAGGGTATCTAGGATACCCTACATATTTTAGAATCCTCTTGTAGGAAAAAGGATTCTGGCGTTTATAAGTCAGTATGTAACAATAACAGATTTATGGTATAGGTGATTATTTTGTTAAATAGATGTAGTCCCAAACCTGCTGAATCAGCTTCTTGCTAAGCAATCAATAGGAAAAAGTAAATAAGCCTCGAAGAGCAACAGAGTTTGTTTCTCATTGACCAGTGTAGTAGATTAGAGATTGCCTCATTATCTTTGACACCCCTTCCCTTAAATCTTGGCTGTTTTGTGACTTTTTTGACCAATAGAGTATGATAAAAGTGATTCTGTGCCAGTTATGGCTTGATTTTTAAGATGTCTGGCAATTTTGGTCTTTTGAAGCCCTGATCTACCATTTAAGAAGCCTGCTGGAGACATCATGTAAAAGGACCCTACAATGGAAGTAACCACAATGTCCCAAAATGTCCTTCAATAGGTAAATAGGTAAACAAACTGTGGTATATCCATACAATCGACTATTATTCAGCAGTTAAAAGAACAGAGCTATCAAATCATAAAAAGACATGGAGGAACCATAAATACAAATTGCTGAGTGAAAGAAGCCAATATGAAAAGGCTATATCTGTATGATTCCTACATGATTCTCTGGAAATGGCAAAACCATGGAAACTGTTGAAGATCAGTGGTTTCTGGGGATGTGAGGAGAGAGAGAAGAGATTAATAAGTGGAGCACAGGAGGTTTTTTGTTGGGGGGGGTAATGAAACTCATCTATATGATACTGTAATGGTGCATACATGCCATTATGCATTTGTCAAAGTGCATGGAAGGTTCAACATAAAGAATAAACCCTTAGATAAACTATGGACTTTAGTTAAGAATAATATGTAAATATTGGTTCTTCATTTAAAACAAATGTACTACATTCATTTAAGATGTTAATAATAGAGGGAATTGAAGAGAGAGAGAGTGTGTAGGGATGCTGTACTTTCTGCTCAGTTTTTCTATAAACCTAAAATTGTTCAAAAATTAAAGTCTGTCTTTAAAAAGGTCCTATCTGGAAAGGAAGAAGGACTGAGCTAAACCTGGTCTTCTAACTGCTCCTTCCCAGGCACCAGTTATGTACGTGAAACCATCTTGGACCCTCTAATCCAGCCAGTAGGTAAATACCATTGAGTAACTATGGTCAATGTCACCTGGAGAGGAAGAATTGGCCAGCCAAACTTTTCCTGAACTCCTGATACCCTAAACTGTGAGATATAATGAAAATGGTTGTTTTAAACCGTTAAAGTTGGAGTACTTTGTTACTCAACAATCGATAACCAGAATAGATGGTTATAGAATTCTAAGTTAAAATCATTTTCCCTCAGAAGTTTGAAGGAATCAGCTCATTGGCTCCTAGTCTCCTAGTGTTGTTGTCTGAAGCTATTCTGTGTCTTGATCCTTTGAAAGCCCACAGTAGCATCTGTTCAAAGAGTTCTGATGTTGTGATGACAGACTTGGTGTGGCTCTATTTTCATTCACAGTGTTAGTCACTGATGGACCTTTTCAACCTGGAAATTCAGGTCTTTCAGTTCTGAGAGATGTTCTTGAATTATTTCATCGATGATTTCTTCTTTTCTTTTTTTTTTTTTTTTAGAACCCCTATTATTTGTATATTGGGTCAGTTGGGCTCTGGTTTCTAATTTTCCTAGTTTTTGCCCTATTTTCTATATCTTTGTTTTTTGCCCTATTTTCTGGAGAATATCCTCAAATTTATCTTTCAATCCTTTCTCCAGGGTAAAATAAACCTCTAGTCTTATACCACAGTAAGGAGAGGCAGCTGCCCACCTGTGTAAAGTTGGGAGAGTCTGAGGATCTAACTGCTTCTTCAGTAATCTTTCAACTGACACTTATTTTTACTCTCACCTCCATTTCTAGAGCTACCATATGTAGTTGATCCCCAGGTCTTTTGGGGAGTCTGCAGTGTAAACTGGATTGCTTCTTGACATTCCCTTCTGCCAGATTAGGATCCAGCTCTCTGAGTCAACTAGGTCAGTT